GGGGGGGGGGGGGGTGAGCCATGCAGCTGTGAAGATGGCTTGGAGCCAAATTATGAGGGTAATGATGTTGTAACTAAAACAAGGGTGACTGGCTACTGAAAGTCCCTGAGGCCCAGAGTGTTATCATGACATGTGCCTATGAAGGTCAATCTGGCAGCCATGGGAGGGGGCACAGGGACAAAATTATAAGATTCCACTTTAGTTCACGTAACACTTTTCGCTGAGCATCTACTATGTGCCTCACACTCTTTTAGGCACTAGGGATAGATCAGTGAACAAAACAGACAAACATCCTGCCTATGTGGAGCAGACATTCTAGAGGCTAGGCAGATAATACATAAGAAAACAAATAACAATAACAGCAATGGAGGAAAATAGAGCATGGTAAAGGCAATCAAGCAAGCTGGAGAGGGCAGGCATTTAATCAGCATTATGAGAGTCCTCGGGGAAGGCTTCCCTAAGAGCTGACATTCTAGGGAAGACCCGAAGGAGGTGAGGAAGTTGGCCAAGCAGTACCTGGGGGGAGCATTTCAGGAGAAGGGGCAGCTTGGACAAAGGCACTGAGACAGGAACATGCCTGGTGTTCCAGGGTCACCGAAGAGCACAGTGTAGATAGAGAGGAGGGAGTAGAAAGAAGGGCTCAGAGGGGTAATGGGACCAGATCATAAAGGCTATGGTGGGCCAGTGTCAAGACCTGGGAGAAATGGGAGCCACTGCAGGTTTGAGCAGGAAGGAGACATGGCGTGACCTACTTTTCCACGGGGTCGCTCTGGCTTCCAGGTTCACGGAAACTGTTGTGAGTATAAAGCTCTCACTGCTCTCCAGGAACTTATCATCTGATTTACAAAGGAACAAAGCCAAGCCTTTTGCACAATGCAGAATCAGAATTTTAAATCTGATGATTCATGCCCATATTTACCCTATTACAAATTCACACAGATATTCACACCATTCCACTATACAGAAACACGATCCTGAAATTGTCCTTGGCTTTTTCCCTGCTATATATTTTTGCATGGAGTTTTGTTTCTGAGCCTGGCCCTCTAATGATGTCATGGAACCATCTAGAATCTCCTTTGAGGAACTAGCAGAGTTCTCCCTCCAATGGGTAGAACTTAAGCCCAAAATCTGCCCTAGTCATGTCGAGTGTGCCTCTGCCCCCCTTTAGTCCACAGCTCATACTAAAATGAGAGGGTTTTTTTAAGTCAGCAAATCCAGGATATCACAGAGTTGCTAGAGAATGGCAGATGGCCAGTTTCTCTTAACTGGTAGCTTGAAGATGCTCTGAACTAATTTATTCAGTTTTGTGAATTTCTCAACATCTAAATCAGCTCAATTTTCTGTGTAATAAGAGATATCTCTGGTAACCAAAGCCTGAGGGCCTGGAGACCGGCTTTCACCTAGCATTGTGAATCTTAAACCTGGGGGTCAGACCCACAAGAAATCACTATAGAGGCTAAGGGTAACTTTATTTTTAGATCATTATTGGCAAATTCTACCTGCTGGGCCAGGCTCTTGGGCCAGACAGTGTCTGCCCTTCTCAGAGCCTCACAGTCTAAAAGAGGGTTGGCCACAGAGGCAGCAAGAGCCAGTCATGGTTCAGGAGCCAGGTTTCCATGCTTCATAGACGGGTTTCCAGGTGCAAGAGCCTTTCCGCAGCATCAAGGGTCAGTGTGCCAGCCCCACCCCCACCCGTCCCCTGGCTGGATCGCCCAACAGGCAGACCAAGTGCCTGCTCCCAGCACTGAAAACAAAATAAAAAGTGAGGAGGAGGAATATTTGTCATAGAATTCGATATTTAGTAGTTCCCAAAATAAAATCAAAGTTGTTCTCATGGGAGAAATGAGAACTTTGTCAGGCTTCATTACACGGATTTTATGGATTAGTGGTATTGGGGTGTTAAATTGCTCTGACATGGCACCTTTGCAGGACTTAGGGAAGTCGTTCTCAATGCTAGTGTTCATTAGATGAAAAAGACTGGTGCTCAGGCCCCACCCAGAGATTAGTTTCAAGAGCCTGGGTAGGGCTTCAGCATCACAATTTTTTTTAAACTCCCCAGGTGATTCTAATGTGCAGCTGGGTTTTTGAACTGCCAACTTGGGGCCTCTAGAAGTCTCCATCTGAGCCTGGACTCCCTTCCCAAGCTCACCCCTTCCCCTCTGCTTGCCCAAAACAGCATGGTCAGGACCCCAGAGCAGCTTTTTAAAGTCACTTTTTAAAGACAAGCAGATACAGGTCCATTTCAGTGGTCTGGGTATCTCAACCATGTTTCTTCTGGGTTGTTGGAGATAAGGAGAGGGGTGGGGGTTGGTCCTGGTCTCTATGGCTGCCCTTGTTGGAGAACACCAGGGGCTGCTCCATTCCCATGTCCCTCTTGTGACCCCCAACCCAGCCCCCCAACCATGCTTGGGTTTCAGCTCAGAAGCTTTCCAGAAGGGTGGAAGGAAAGGGGCCAAGAAGGTAATGATTGTCATCACGGATGGGGAATCTCACGACAGCCCAGACCTGGAGAAGGTGATCCAGGAAAGCGAGAAGGACAACGTGACCAGATACGCTGTGGCTGTGAGTCCTGCCCCACCTGTCCTGCCCCCTGCTCCTGCTTACAGGCTGCCAGCTAGCTTATAAAGGCTTCACCACCAAACCCCTGGGACCCCCAGGGGGCATTTTCTGGGCAGTGAACAAGCCATTCATGCCCTCAGATGGGCCTCTCCTTGCATCATCTTCTAAAGAGCAAGTTGAGCCCCGGCAGGGTGTCTCAGTGGTTGGACTGTCGTCCTGTGCATCAGAAAGGTTGCAGTTCCATTCCCAGTCAGGGCACATGCCTGGGTTGTGGGTTTGACCCCCAGTCAGGGAGTGTACAGCAGGCAGTCGACCAATGTTTCTCTCTCACGCCAATATTTCTCCACCCCTCTCTCTTCCTCTTTCTCTCCCTTCCTCTCTCTCTAAAATCAATAAAAGCATGTCCTCAGGTGAGAATTTTAAAAATAATAATAATATAAATAAAGAGCAAGTTGAGAATCTTCCTTCTGCACTGCCTAAGCCTATCCACAATAGTCCTGGGGTTTCTTTTCCCCATTTCTAGGGAGGTTTTGAAACCTCAGAAAAACAGAAACTGTCCAGCTTCCCAACCCCCAGGACCCTATCTTAGAACAGGGCCATCCCTGGTCCCTACTAGATAGTCTGTTTCAAAATGCACATGGGACTTTGAAGACTACTCATGGCTATGGAAGCAGTGGCTCCAGCTGGGGCTGGGGCCCAAGGCCAGGGGCCCCTGTGTGTGCGGGAAGTCTGTGCTATGTCCTCGTTTGTCGCCCTGCCTTGTTCCCTGGCAGGTCCTGGGCTACTACAACCGCAGGGGGATCAATCCAGAAACTTTTCTAAATGAAATCAAATACATCGCCAGCGACCCGGATGACAAGCACTTCTTCAACGTGACCGACGAGGCCGCCCTAAAGGACATCGTCGATGCCCTGGGGGACAGGATCTTCAGCTTGGAAGGTGAGCAGTTCATATAGAGAGGGGTCCATATTCCTGGGGTCACATCAGGTGAAGACTCCAGAGTGAAATCCAACCCCACAGAGTGAAATGGTCCCCTCTTCAGGGTAAATGCCAGCGCCTGACATTGTGCTGGACAGGAGGCCGTGCACTTTACGAACAGCCCAGGGAGGTGGTTTTGCTGATCGCCTGCCTCCTCTTTCACAACTGAGGAAACTGAAGCTCAGAGGAGCTGAGGGACTTGCCAAAGCACGCACAGCTTGAGAAGGAGCTGGGGTTTGAATGAGAGTCGCCAGATTCAGCAAATATAAAATACAGTATCTGTGGCAGACTTACACTAAAAAACAATTCGTTGTTTGTCTGAAATTCAATATCTGAGCGTCCTGTATTTTCTCTGGCAGCCCTAGTTTGAACCCAGCGGGACTGACTCAGAGCCTAAAATACGAATCCCCGCCTCCCACTCCACCCCAGCACTTTCTGCAGGGCTCCTTCAGATGGCCTCTCCCTACGACTTACACTCCGCTTGTCACTGGCCATATATTGCGACAGAGGGCCCTCTCCACACGGGGCTTTGCCGTGTGGGAGGATTGTCAGGAGGTAGAAGGCCTGAGCGATCTGCAGAGCACTGGAAATGACGAGCTACAGACACGAAAAGACACAAAAAACAGTCCTCATCAGTGAGGATAAATACAAAGCATGAACCTGAGTTTTGACACTCACACTAGAGCTTAAACATTCAAATCCGTGTATTTCTCTTCAAAATGGTCACCTTGGGTGACAAGAACATTGGCTCCGATGACAAGTTTGGAAGAGCTCTCTGGGGGAGGGCAGCACACGTGAGATCTTTTGTGCAAATCTGTGGTGGTGACATCTCCCTCCGGATGGTCTAGTTGATGTCCCGGAGTCACCCAGAAGTAGCTGGAACCAAACATGGTGAATGAGAGGAATGAACCAAGTAGGAAATTTCATTTCTTGCCCCAAAATCTTTCTCTCCATGCACGTCTCTTGATCTTTCCCCGATTTTGACAGGATTATGGTAGACATGCCCTGTGATATAAGTTGTCCCAAGCCCTTTCCAGCAGGGAGTGGGCCACTAATAATAAACCTGCATGTCCCCCTGGAAGGTGCTCAGTGCCTCCCTTGCAAAGCGCCTGCCACTGGGGCAGACAAGGCCAGGTTTGGACTCAGGGACAACCCCC